GGGAAACGGGAAAACTGGGAAACGGGAAAGCTGGGAAACGGGAGAGCTGGGAAACGGGAAAGCTGGGAAACGGGAAAGCTGGGAAACGGGAAGGCGGGGAAACGGGACGCGCACCCACAGCTCACGCGCCCAAACGCCCGGAGCCAGCGCATCCGGAGCCAGCGCACTCGGAGCCAGCGCACTCGGCGTTAGCGCACTCGGAGCCAGCGCACTCGGAGCTAGCGCATGTGTAGTGAGTCTAGCGATACCGAGTCGCCGCGAAGCGGCGACCGGGAGCGCTAGTATATGATGATTTGATAACCGCAGATCAAAATGTGAGAAAAACTCATCATTTCAACGAAAATATAATATAATGCGTTATTCAATTATGTATTCACTCAATATGGTGTTTGAGGTTGTCCCGCGGATTCTGGTCAGAACTCCGTTTGAGAGGGATTCGATCCTCGTTGTTCAGGTCATCGAAGTCCACAACTTGAGAGGGAAAATCGGGCCCGTTTTTTTCGCCGTCCGAAAAAAACGGTCCGTTCAGACGGCCCGGTTCCCCGTCTGAACGGAATGCATGCGTGATTTAGGCGCCTCGATTGGGTGGTGAAAGCCAGAGTCGATAATCTGAACTTCTGGTCTTCATTCGAATGATTTTCTTCGTAAAATGATGATTGAAGGTCGGACTGATCAGGGTGATTGGATGGGTGGTGAATTGATGTTGTCGGTGACGAAAGGACCGCAAATCAAGATTCTTTATCCTCGCAAGAGGACGTGCTGTTGTGAGGAACCTAGTCTCCGCAAACCCCGGATGAGTCGACGCAACGGGAAGTTCACTGTCAAGAGAACATAGAAAACTTCGGCCTCTATTGGGAACATCATGCGAAAACGTTGGTAATGAATTGGTCAGCCTCGTTGTCGTAGTGTTAGGGGCGTCATGGATTTTTGGTGCGCTCGTTACCATCATGACATCATCACCCATCAAGTTCCATTGGTCAAACGGCAGCAAGACCAATTTTCATCGGTCAAGCTCCTTATAAATAGGCATTTTCCGAGTCGTCAAACTATTCTGCTCCATGATGGAGGCCCCGATGAACGACATCGAAGATCTTCTGAGTGCTGTTGACCGCCACGTAATGATGAGATTTTGGGGCAAAAAAGGATTCCGTTGTCGAGCTGGTCAATTGGAAAATGTTCTACGAAGGCACCCCGAGATTTATGGTGGGACCAAGCTCAAAGTCAAAGTCGATGTTCGAGGTTCTAGTGACTTCCTAATGTTGACGCCATGGCAGGATGGAAATGGAAAGCCTCGCGTACTTTACGTGTTCGCCGTCAATATTGGCAGAGTTCGTGGTATTTCGGATAGTGATGTTAACAGCCTCCTTCGGTCGGTGCTTAATGCTGTGGGCAACTGCAAAGGTTGCGTTATGTGCCAGCAGATGATCCTACCGCCTAATAGGGTGTTGGTGGATCAGACTTTGACTGAAATCGAAGCGATAGTTTGTGAAGCATCAGACGTTTTCGACGGTCAATAAACCTCCAGTAAAACTCATCGAAAATGTTCAGAGTTTTCACGTAGGGATCATTTGAAAGACGATAATTCTGGCCGGTGTCAAGATACGCGAAGTAGTCATGAGTTTGAAGCCGGAAAGGAACGATTAGGGTGGTCGCAAATTGTCGGCGTCGATTTAGCGGTAATTTCGGGGTCTCTCGGGTTCTTGGGGCGACGACATTCATGGATGACGTGTTCCATTTCCATTCGGAAGTGGAACTGAAAGAATTTCGGAGGTGGATGCGAAATTGAGATAGGACTGATGGGAGTGATGAGTGTTGAATAGAACTTGTCGGTGACAAAGGGATCGCCGATCAGGGTTCTTTTCTCTCTAACTGCTGGTTTTCAATAGAATATCATATCTTCGAGGTCATCATTGACGTTCGGGTATGAGGTAGTTCGGAAGTCGTAGAACTCTAGGTTGCTGACGTAGTGAGGAGGCGGGCAAAGCGGCCCGAATGAAGATCAGATTCCTATGGTTTATAAGTCGAGAACTTCATTGTACACGATGTTCTTCATGTGTTTGTTCGAGGCGGAGATGAATATTCCTGCTCGACTTCTCGCCCTCGATAAGGCGACGTAGAGTTGCCCGTGTGTGAACACCGATTCCTTGAGGTAGATTCCGACTCGTGAAAAAGATTGGCCCTGAGACTTGTTTATGGTCATGCAGAAGCTCAGTCGGACGGGAAATTGTCGGCGTCGGAGTCTGAATGGTAAAGTTTGATGTGAAAAGTAGCAGTCGATCTTCGGGATCATGACTGGAGAGCCTTTGGATGTTCCGGTGGCGAATTCACAAACAATCACCCGAGAGTGAATGGCGGTAACGATTAAGCGCGTTCCATTACACAGTCCATTTTTTACATCCAAGTTTCTCAGCATCATGACTATGCATCCAATCTTCAGATTGAGCTCGTGGGGCGGAAGAGAAGAGGGCGTCATCTTATTCAGGAACTCGGTGGGAAAATTCAGAGCATCACTGGGGTCCTCGATCATCGC